TTGGCCTCCAGCTGAATTTTGCTCTTGATGAGTCCCTCGCATCTCTCTTCAGCATCTGACAGATTCTCTGATTCCTAGTAGGCAATTGAATAAGCCGATTTGCACATTTTTATTCCTGAAGATGGACAAAATGTTTAAGTTATTCTTGTTGTTCACTCACAGATGCGACTTGCAGCTGCAGATCATTCTTCTCCTGCAGAAGAGACACCATCTTCTCCTCCAGCTCCTTCTTCTTAGCCAAGGCAGCAGCCAAGTCTGATGTCATCTTCTCATAATTCTCCTTCATCTGCTGAAGCTCCTTCTCAGTCTCAGCACTCTTCAGAAGAGGCTTGATCTTGTAATAGACTTTCATCCATGGCCAGTGTTTGACATTCATGAATGAGCGCACATTGTACTGGATGGTATAGATGGCATCCCTGTGAACAAACACAGATATATCTATTATCTAAAAAGTTCCTGTTTTTTTAAAATATGATATGTCCCCAATTTTCTCTGTTTCACATGCCTCCTCTCTGTCATCTTGACAAACTCGCTCCTCATGAGGTAGGCACGGCAGAGAGCCTGAGTCATTGTGACCAAACTTGCAAGTTTTTCATCTCTCATCTCTTCAAGGGTACCCAGAAGACCAGCCTTGAAGAACACCTAAGCATACATAACATTGAAAAATAGTTTACTTTTGCTGTGCATTTTTAAAAGAAACATTCAGAAAAAAAAGCTTGATTCAGCGGCTTAATGCTACTTACATCATTTTATTTTATAGTTTAGAGTCAAACTTTACATTCAAACTGATTCCAAAAACTAACTGAGAACTGATTTGAATAGAAAAAGCATACTGACAAACTGATATATTAAAATCTTATAACGTCATCATCACACTTGCCTTGGTGTGTCCGAATTTGTACTCATCATGATTAATATCAATGGATCCAAGCAGCTTCTCTGAAGCCTTCTTGTTGTCAATAAACTGGCCCTCAGGGATGACACTGGCATTCAATACCTTGTATCTTTTGATGAGAGACAGTATTTCAGTTAAAAACATTTCAGTTACAAACAACAAAGATTTAATTAGCCTAGAAGTTGTACCTCTGCTTGAAGTCACCATAGACGATTCTGCTGGGGAAACCTTTCCTGCAGATTCTAATACCCTCCAGAA